TAAACCAAGCAGTCGAGAAAAGGTCGGTGAGGAACCTTTAACTCAAAAACCTGATCCATTCGAGTAAAAGAGCAAAATGAAGATTGGAATGTTGAGAGTAGAGTCAGACAGAAGATAGAGAACACATATATACTGGGGTTGCAAGAGTAGTGAGTAAATGCATGAACGTTATTTAGCCTTATCATTCAGTATCTCTAATCCTCGGTCACCATGATCTCGGGTTTCCCATCCAGGGGCCCTAACGGTACCTGTATAACCNACCGAGCCTCCTGGTTAGGGTTTTCATGCCAGGTATAATTTAGACCGTCCCTGATTTATTTCGAACCGTTTCATGTCTCAGCTAACATCGCGTGCCGTGGCAACCTATTTGGTGACTTGCGTGACACATGAAAACAACGGCGGGGCCTTCAAATTTCGGTTGCGATGTCCGTTTTTCCATCTTCGTATTTTTCACGGCATAACCATCAGTACACCCACGTTTTTCGCGTCTTTCGTTTGAACTTTCAACTTGGTTGCCAAGACGACCATTGTGCAACTACAGCCATGCGTTGTTCGGTCGAATACACTCCTGATTTCCAGTACCCAATTAGATGGAAGAAATGTAACGCTGCTACCTATTTTTGGAGAATCTTAAAGAATAAAATCAAACGGATGAACAGAAAACAAAAGCGTTGGTTGAAGAGTTGCTCTTCGGAAACAAACCTTCGCCCGTTTGTGTCCCCATCATTCTCAGTTGTAACGTTTGGTCTCTTGTCGTAAATGAGGCCGATCTAACCAAACTGCGGCAATATTTCGATCTTGCTGGGGTTATGCGTCTGAGAAATTGGCGACACAGCGGAATACATGATGAAATAGTACACCTGGATAGCTTCATTAGCTATCGAGTCAATAGTACAGTATCTTATTTAAGACGGGGTGGTGGTATCACGTTTGTCAAAAATCAGTGGTATCACCTGACCGAAAGCGTATTCTCTCATTATACGCTCCATATGAATGCACTTGTGCTACCATATAAGCCCGAACATTTAAGCTTTCCTCGGCTACTCAATCATGTGAATGTATATACTACTCCCTCTTGCCTATCTGATGTTATTATTGAATTTGGACACTCTTTCATCAATATTGATTGATTATTTAGTGACCTCAGAGTGCATTATTCGTGGTAACTTCAATTATTCCTATGCCCGTTTCGTAAGCACTTTCGGTTTTCGAAACATTGTCTCCTTTATGGATATGTGGATTAGGGTGTGCTCAACTTTCCAAGTCTCTTTTGTGTAGACAGCTACTCGCCATTAGGGGTCTGATCACTCACTCTACATTAAAATTCCCCCCCCCCTACCATGTCAGCAAATGCAATCACCTGTGCCTTCTTTCTCGAGTTGGTGATCACAACCTTCAAGGCAGACAGCGTTCTCCAGAAAATCTCACTCACTGGCGGAAATGGCCACTCAGTGCGACTTTAATTTTTTTTCGATCCAAACCCTTCCATTTTCGTTGATCACTTAACAAGTTACCTAAACTCCGGTTAAAATGTTTGTTAACCCTCAAACGCAATTTATATCCGCCCCCCCCCCATCCCATTCGATTCTTCGTCCCACACATCGAACAACTCTCTCATATAAAGTACTGGTCGATTGTGATGCATTGAAATATTTTCTTTATGACCAAATGGAGTTTCGTTATATTTATTACTTGTTTTAATGCTTTATGTATCGACAATAATTTACATCTTGTTTACTGGAATCTAGGTAGTTTCTAGGCTGCATAATTATCAATT